CAGGTGCTTACAAATTATGTACAAAGAGTTGCTTGCCACATATGCAAAGAATAGTATTCTTGCCCAGTTTTTGAAACAAAGCTTTCTCTCTATACCTTTCATTCCTCATTTAGGAGACTTAGGTGCAGAGAAATTGTTTCCTATTAAAAGAAAACAAGAGTCTAGTCATGATAGTTGGCCCTTGGCTTTTGCCTTCAGTACTGGGAACTCAAAGGCAGCTGTGATGGTGGAGACAGCCGATACTTAGCTCTAGTTCACTGGTGACATTTAGAAAGGTAGGTTCCATGTGTCTATGTGTTCTTATCTACAGACACCAGAAATCTGAATTTTTTTTTTTTTTTGGTCTTTTTGACACAGGGTCTCCCTGCAGCCCCAACTGTCCGAACTCACTTGAACTCACAGAGATCCACCTGCCTCTGCCTCCCAAGTGCTGGGATTAAAGGCATACGCCAACACGCCTGGCCCGAAATCTGATTTTTTTAAAAAAGTTAAACTACATGCATATGTATGTGTCTATGTGTGGGGATGTGCATGTGAGTGCAAGTGCCCACGGAGGCTAGAAGAGTGTTGGATCCCCTGGAGCTGGAATTATAGATAGTTGTGAACCATGCTATGTGGATGCTGGGAACTGAACCTGGGTCCCTTGCAAGAGCAGCAAGCGCTTTTAACCACTGAACTATTTCTCTAGCCTCAAGAAATTTAACTTTATGTGTGTGTGAAATTTTTTAAATTAAATATTAAAATGTTATATATACTTAAACATGTCTGTGAATTGGTTTTAGCTCATTATTTTGATGTATACAACATTATGTTTGGGGTAATGATAAATTGGGAAATATTCAAATACTAGTAATCCTCACTAGTGTTGCTTGTTACGAATGATCAGTAATTGGCTACTGGCAAAGACCAGACTAAACTGGCCTGGGCTCGGGGATGGGGCAGACTAAACTATGCTTGTCTGTACACAGTCACTATCTCTGACAGACTGAAATCCCTAAGAATTTACTTTGCTTGATTTAGTCAGGTAAAATGCTAAGCCTTCACAAAGTGTACACATCTCTGAAATAGAATACATATGTGTAGCAATTTAAGTTCACTTTGCAATCTATATTCAGATATGAATCAGCAAATTATAAATCCATTTATTTGTCTTCTACCTGTCTTTATGCAAAGGGTGCTCAGAATAACTGGTCACATTAAATTAGTCCAGAAAACATAAAACTGTAATTAAAAAAAAAAGCTAGAGAAATCACTCGAAGGTCATATATTTGTTGAGTTTTGCTTTGGGATGGCAGCCAAACGGCGGCACTAATCACTAAAATAACATCCCCATCAGCTCTGGATCTAAGATCACAGTGTTTAAGTGGAGCGACACCCTCATTCCTCTTCAAGGCTCACCTTCAGTGTGTAAAGATTTCCACTTGCTTTGCTCTCAGAGCCTACTTTTGGCCTTATCCAAGCATTGCCTGAGACGTGAGCTCAGGCTTCCTCATCTTTGTATTCCCCACAGCGCCTACGGGGCCTCAAGCTCTACAGTGCTTCAGTCAAAGATGGTGGAATGAAGATAAAGTGTATGTCCTAGAGGCCAGGCTATCTTCAGGGTGTATGAAGAAATTCAGAACTTAACCAAGTGTCTTTCACACTGGCCTAAGACTCCAGAATTATTACACACATGATACTAAATGCATCTTCTCAGACAACTGGTCACTCATTTCCCATGGATTATTGCGTCCATGAACCATGCAGAAAATCTGAAACTCTAAGCTAGTGCTAACAATGGGACCAAACCTGGTTGGCTTTACTAAAGTGCTGAAATTGTCAGATCAGAAGTTGCTCTTCTCCCAATCTTTTCCTAACAAATCCCATGATCCTTGCTCCTCCATTTGATCTGCATCCTCATTATTTATGCAGATTCCTAAGACTACATTACACATCTAAATATACGCCAGAAATTATTCCCTAGCTTTTTCCTATGTGTAAATTTTGCCCCTAAGAGTGGACTAGAGAATGTCTGATGGTGGCTTTTAGAGCCTGCCAGTTAGTTCTAGGTTTTCTCATCTGCATAATGGGAAAACTCTTATCTCAGAGGAATGTTGTAAAAGATCAAATGAGATCATATGTGTACAGCACTTGAGACCACCCCCTTTAATTCTCAAGCTTTTATTAATGGCTACAGAGTTGCCATTAATTACAGAAGTGAATGAGGATGAACTCTGTTTTCGACAGCCTTGTGCTTAGTAAAGACACCAGAAAAGAGAAGAGGAACAAGTACTGCACAATACAACCATGTACCATGGCTCAGTTGAGGATGGTGGTCCTACACCTGCAGTGTTGGAACCTTCTTAGTTTGTGTATACTCTCTCTGATGGTCCTACAATGATGAGATTGCCTAAGGAATTCTCAGAACATTAAGTTACATATGACTAGAGAAGCAAAGAAACACAGAGTGGTTGAGAAAGAAATGAGTGGAAAGAATAAGTGAAATCCAAGAACCAAGGGGAATCATGAAGAGTTATGGGGGAAAGAGAGCAACCAAATGAAGTTAAATATCAGAAATAACCAACAAGCACAACAGTACACATTTTAAAATGAGAATATTTGGAAAATAGGATAATTTAACTAGAATTTACACTTATCTGTAGGGTTAACCAGGGAGGTCTAAACAAACAAGTTAAGAGATTTAATTTCAACCCTTATTTATTTAAAAAAAAAACTCCTGATCTATCTATCTATCTATCTATCTATCTATCTATCTATCTATCTATCTATCATCTATCTATCTATCTATCTATCTACTTACCTACCTATGTTGTGGTCTTTTTGAGACAGGGTCTTTCTATAGCCCCAGATGGCCTGGAACTCACTATGTAGACCAGGCTAGCCTTGAATTCACAGAGACCGCCTGCCTCTGCCTCCCAAGTGCTGGGATTAAAGGCATGCGCCACCACGCCCAGCAAAACCTGAAATACTAATATACTTTCCTGAGTTTTTACTATGGAGTCTAATGGGATTTAATGATTGAAGGTAAATGTTTAGATAACTATTTTTATCTACTATTATACAAACTATACCATAAATGTGTGTGTGTGTGTACTCACATTCTCTCTCTCTCTCTCTCTCTCTCTCTCTCTCTCTCTCTCATATTTCCTTACAGAGTGTTTCCTATGTGGCCCAACTATAGTTCTGCTTTTACTTTTCAACCATGGACACTTAGCTAGGTTAAATGTTGGTTTCTTTTCTAAAAAATATTTTATTATTTTAGTTTATGTTTATGAGTGCATTGTCTGCATGTATGTAAGTGCACCCATGTTGTACAATGCCCATTCAGAAGAAGGCATCAGATCCCCTGGAACTGGAGTTAGGGACAGTGGGGGTACTGGGAATTGAACCTGGTTCTTCTATAAGAGCAGCCAGTAATCTTAACCACTGAGCCATCTCTACTGCCCCAAATGTTGGTTTCTTTAACTACTGAATGGACTAATGTTTCCCCCTATATTAATCAAGAGAGGACAAGTGACTTAAGGGAGATGAAAGTTCTCTGTAAACCATAAAGTGAAATATAAACATGTGTTTTTAAGAAGGGCAGCACCTGCATGCTTAGTAGCCTTCTCTAGACATTTCTCATCTTTACAGTTTGTTCAACCCATAGTCTTGTCACAAAACTTATCAAGGAGCTTGTAGAAGTACTCAATGGTGGCAAATGTAATCATTCTCAGAACTCTTAAGTTTGCTTGGTAACAATGACCAAATTAGAATTGAATTATTGATGTTAAGTTGAAAAATTGCACCCCAAATCTTACTTGGTTCTTTGTACATTAATAAAACCCTGTCTCTAACACGGGAAGATGATTTTGGATCCTCTGGAGCATGCACAATATAAAATGCCTTCCCAGTAAAGATGTAATTCCAAGGTAACACCATCTCCACCTGGATTGGGCAGTAATTTCCTAGCTTCTTGTGTGCCCCTCATCCACTTTGGTTATCTATCTGTATGCTGTATACTGCATGACCTCCTTTCTGATCATGCCACTGCTGTTTAACTCTTCTGCTGCTCACATTGCTGTGAAATGGCCAAGCACCCCCTAGTCAGGCTTCTGTCAATATCTGTAGAATTTCCTCAACTGTTCCTTCATGTCACTTTCTGTACTTGAGTCCCACTGGCTGTCTAGTTCTTAGGAAGGCCTCGTTCCCTCCTGCCTCAGGACTTTTGCACAAGATTCCCGCCTACCCATCTTTCCTCAGCTACAGTTAGCTCACAGTTGAGGCCTCTACCTATCTCACACATCAACAAGGCAGCCTTCTTAGAGCTGCCCTGTTGTTTGATGAGCTGCTTTGTTGTGCCTGCTCACAGCCCACTTTTCTTTCCTTTTCTTAATGCACTATGCCTCTGTGATTTTTTTTGATTGTTATCTATGTCCTTGACAACATCAGAAGGGCAGAGACTTTGTTGTAACACATGTGGGCCAAATAGGAGACTCAATACCCAGTTACAGAATGAATAGTTTTAACCTATTCCCACATTTCTGCCAAACTTCCTTCATAATATGTCAGCTAGCTGGTGTGTGATAAGTACTTAAGGCTGTTCTAACTGGGAAAATCTCTTTTACAGTGATTTGGAAAAAGTCAACAGCTATTTCCTTCACTTCAATGACCTTGATGGTTCACTGATAGAACTGAATGGTTAAGTGATGAATGATGAAATTCTGTTTTGTACTATGAATTAAGAGCAGACTCATTAGGAAATGATTAACATGATTAGACAGTATCTAGCTAAAAGGTTAATTTTTACAACTCTATTTTTCCAGAAAGAAGGAAATATTCCCCCAATGCCATCAACACACAATCATGCACAGTGTGAATGTCACTGTCTTCCTCCATGGTTTCGTATGAATGTGTGAGACAGTTCATTCCACTTCTTTCTCAAATCCCATGCTTTTTGAAGAATCAAGACCAAGACATTGCCAGACCACAGAAGACACATCCTCACAGGCTTTTATTACCTTTTCTTCCGAGTCTCCTGGCTGACAGGTAATTACTCCATCTCTTGATCCCCCTGCAAATGCTGCTTTACAATTTGCAAGCCACTGTTGTCAGAAAAAGAGAGATAGACAGACATAAGTAGATTCAGAGATGTCCTGAGAATATTTAAAACATGAATTCTGTCAGAAAAATTTTATCATGCTTCTAACAAAATAAAATAAAATTTTGCTGGACTGACTTTTAGGAAAGGATCATTTTTAGAAGGTTAAAGACAAACTGAAATTAAAATATCTGTATAGGTTTTGTAAGGGTTATTTTAAAGTGTAATTTTAACATTGTACTATATTTCCTGGGGACTGGTTTCACCGGATCAGTCCTGATTTAGTTATGAATGAAAACATGTATATATAATTAGAATTATATAGTTGAAATCATTTCATATTCCTGAGATTAGGAGATGGGACCAACACTTCCCATAGGCAGAATGCTTCTGGCCTGGTGGCACACCTACTTGTCTGTTATGATCAGAAGGCTTCCATGGGTCATGTCCTTCACTGGAAAAAAGGCTAATACAGCAGTAACTCTGCTATTATGATAGGGATTCTCGTAGCCTTAAGCATTCTGGGATAGTAAGTCACACAGATGTAAAACACAACCTTTGGGCATAACACAGTGAATCCTGAAATTCATACCCACATCCATAGATTAGTCTGATTCACCAGCCAGGGTGAAGAATTGCTTTTACCACCTGACAACTGACAATCTGGAAAATAATGGCAGGTAAAGGACTAGAGAATTAGGAGACAGAGGAGTGATGGTGCAGCCTTAGGACCTTTGCACTCAGAAAGGTCACAAGAAAGACCATTAACAACAGTAGCAATGAACAGACGCAAACCCAGTAACTTTTCAGTGAGTATCTATGTATGCAGCTTAAGACTGAGTTTACAAAGACTATTTCTATTTTTAAGGAAATATTGAGTTAAAAGCATGAATCTTTTCGTAAAAGATTTTATTTTTAATTATGTATATGTGTGGGTATCTGTGTGTGAGTATGTGCACATGAGTGCAGGTTCCTGTGGAGGCCAGAGGTGTTGGATCCCCCAGGAGCTGGAGTTACAGGTGCAGGTGGTTGTGAGCCACCCAATGTGGTTGCTGGGAATTAAACATGGGTCCTCTAGAAGAGCAGCAAGTACTCTTAACTGTCAAGCCTTACTTCTCTATTCCAAGAGCATAAATCTTTGAATCTCACGGATCTAAGTTTTTTTTTTTGGTCTTTTTTGAGACAGGGTCTCCCTGTAGCCCCAGCTGGTCTGGAACTCCCTATGTAGACCAGGCTGGCCTTGAATTCACAGAGATCTGCCTGCCTCTGCCTCCCGACTGCTGGGATTGAAGCGTGTGCCACCACACCCAGCACATATCTATGTTTTTAATCTCGCTCCTCCACCTCCCTCAGGAATGAAGATAATAAAAGCGATTGCCAGGGCACTTGTCAGCATTAAATGATTTAATTAAGGCACTTAAGTCTTAGCCAGCTGTTGGACATAGAGAATGAACTCAGGAAAGGGTAGCTTCTGTGATAGCCATAACATATCTTTACAATTCTGCAAATGAGGTATTAACACTGCTCTACAGGTGGCAAATGAAAGAAGGTAAGTTAAGTAACTTTCCAAGCTCGCTGATCCTTAAGTAACTAAGCTTTGATCTGAACCCAAGTCCATCTGACTTCAAAAAATCCACATTCTTTCTAGAGTGCCTGGAAAAATTAAAGGAGGTTGTATATATATGTATGTATACAATTAATTTTATTGCTGACTGCCTGAGTTTTCTGGGACTCTTCCTGTGAGAAAATTGATGGTTTACAGGGATGGTTATAGATACTTTCTGTCTCTAACATTTAGCCATCTAGATCTGTGATGGGGGAGGGGTAAGGAGCAACAGCCAAGGTCAAGAGAAGCCATGAAACAGGGAGAAACAACTCCCCAGAATGGTTAAAAGTGGAATGGGGCTGAGACCCATTGAGTGAGGCTAACACTGGAAGGAAATAATCAACAAATTCAAATCTCTGAGAAAAGAAAATTGTTGTAGCACTGTTATTAAAGATATCTACCAAGCACATACAAAAGATACACAGTGATTTCTTGGTAGGGGTGCTAGGAGGATAAAAATGAGCACTGAACATTTCTCTTTTGTTGATTCTATTTAAGTAATCAATCACTTTTTGGCCTTTTAATTAAGATCAAGTACATTTTAATATAATAATCAGTATTATATGTAGCTCTGTCACCATTACACAGGAATTGTAATGCTGAACAGGGGACAAGGAAATCTGTCTTGCCATTACAGAGCTCATCTCAGGTTACACACAGCCCCTCCCAGGACCTCAGTGCGGCTGGCTCACTCAGTTGTAACTGAATGCAATGCACAGACACACAGGAGCTTACCGAGAGAGTGGCCTCTTTTCTATTGTTGTAGGTGTCCAAATATTCTTGTAGCTCTAAAACACTGAACTTCAGCTTGTCTAGAAGTCCACAAGAAAGGAGCTAAAGACAGGAAGATAATCTGTATTAAATAATTTGTATTAAAATTTCATAGAAATATCAATAGAAAGGCTTGGCTACACAGAGAGGAAAGAAGATTTAGAAGCAACAAAGGGGGTAGGGTGGCACCATGAATTTTAATAAGCTGAGAAATATGTAATTTGGCTTCACTATCAGCTGCAGCTGGAACCTAATATTAGTTTATAATCGAAGTCTCCTCCAAAAATGTTTTTCCCTGTATCAGTATAGATAGGCAAACCTTACGAAGTAGTCCATAGAAACCTACATTAGGATATGATATCCATTTTATGCATGAACTCTACCCTCATTATCCAGTAATATTTTGTGTGTTGTGAAGATAGGCTTCCAAACTGACTTCCAGACAGGTACAGAGGGACCTTGCATTGAATTTGTATTTAAAATAATTTAACATGGAATTATTTTTTCATACTGTATTCCTTGCTATAAGACCAGTTGGGTTGTTGAAAAGATTGACTTTAGAATTTAAAGGCATATAGAGTGTGGTGGTATAGGCTTATAATGTTGGAAACTCAGGAGTTGAGATAGGACTTTGAGTTTGAGATCAGCCTGGGCTACATAGCAAGACTGTGTCTCAAAAAGAAAAAAAAAATTCAAGGCAGATCTTCATTTGGTCCCAAACTTCAGAAGCTATCTAGCCCTTGTGATGGTTCTTGATATGATTTGGGAAGTAAAGCAAGGTAACAGATAACAGCTGCCCTCAAAGTAGTTTGTAAAGTCATGACCCAACAGTCATGCTTGAGCTAGATAAATCCAGAGAGTAAGTTTTGTTTGAGGCTTAGAATGAAGAAAGGTTGACTTGTTGACTCTGGAGATCTAGCTGGCTGCCCAACTAGCCAAGATCAGCTCTGCAGTGGTCATCCAATCATATGCACTTCTGGCAAAGTCAGAGTCACCAGGGAGAGGAGCCAAGGACCTGGAGCACAGTGGTAGATCTTCTTTCCTGATTCTCTGAGGTGGCTTGGCCTTGGCCTTGGCTGGCCATGTTCCACTAGTTCCTCTGAAGACCCAGAGGCCCTTAGGAGTCATGTCACAACCCTGTATTGCTCATAACTTCGAAGGTGTCTTTAAAGCAGGCTGGTGAGATGGCTCAATGGGTAAAAGTGCTTGTTGGGCAGGCCTGATGACCTGAGTATGATCTCTGGAACCCATGGTGGAAGAAAAGAACAACTCCTAAAAATCGTCTTCTGAACACCACATGTGCACCATGGCATGTGCATGCACACAAACATGAATAAATAGATAATAAATAAATAAACAAACAAACAAACAAACAAATAAATAACACAGACATCTACCCAGAGCTGGACAGGCTCTTTGCTGCCAGAGCAGGGTAGGGATACTTACAGTCTCAGCATCCACAAATAGCGTAGGGCATTCAGAGCAGGAGGTGAGCATTTGGGAAGAGCTGACAAATTTGGATCCTATTCCCCGGAGATTATCTCCAAGGTAACTGGCTGCATCACAGGTTAGGAAGCAGAACCTTTTCTGAATATTCTGAAAGGCAGGAGAGTGATCACTTGCAAAGGCCAAGTTTAACTCACATATTAGAAAATAGCTATTTGTGTGTGTGTGTGAAAAAAAAGGCTGAGGGGGCATGCATGGTGGTTCATGCCTTTAATCCCAGCACTCAGGAAGCAGATGCAGGCAGATTTCTGTGAGTGTGAGGCCAGCCTGGTCCACATAGCAAGTCCCAGGCCAGCTGGGGCTACATAGTGAGACACTGTTTCAAACAAACCAGCAAACAGAAAATTGGGGGCATGGTGGTACATACTTTTAATCCTAGCACTTGGGAGGATCAATCCTAGCAACGGCAGGAGGATCAAGAAAGAGTTCAAGGTCATCTTTGGCTACATAGTAAGTTCAAGGCCAGGCTATATTACATGAGGCACTTTCTCAAAAAAAGCAGGACTGAAGAGATTGCTCAGTGGTTAAGAGTTTGTACTGCTCTTGCAGTAGACCCAAATTTGGTTCTGAGTACCAACTATGTTGGGTGGCTCACAACTGCTTATAACTACAGTTCCAAGGGATGTGATGCCCTCTTCAGGCCTCCATGGGTACCCGCACTCATGTGCACACAGATACAAATACATATGCATAATTAAATAAGCAAACAAAGCCAAGCTGGAGGTGGTGGCTCATGCCTTTAATCCCAGCACTCAGGAAGCAGAGGCAGGAAGATCTTTGTGAGTTTGATGCCATCCTGGTCTTCATAGTGAAGGGTGGGTCAGCTGGGGCAACAGAGAGGCCCCATTTCAAAAAACCAAAAAAACAAACAAACTCAAAGCAAACAAAGAGAAAACTCACAAACAAACAAACAAAAACCCAAAAGCAAACAAGCAAAAAACAAATTCATTTTAAATTGATTTTTTTAATTAACAAAGAAAAGTTATAGTATTTATTATATATAACATGCGTATATATATTGTGGAGTGGTTGTATCTAGCTAATGAAATGTATATTATCTCATATACTTTTGGGGGGAGTGGTAAGAATACTTAAAAAATCCACTCCTACAAGTTTTTATTTGTTGCGAATAGAAAAACATTACTTGGGGTTTGAGAGATGGCTCAGCAGTTAAGAGCACAGGCTGATCTTACAGAGAACCTGGGTTTGATTCCCAGCACCCATATGGCAGCTAACAACTGTCTGTAACTCCAGTTCTAGGGGATCTGAGGGCCCCTTCTGACCTCTGTGGGTACAACATGGGTACACTTGCACATATGTAAGCAATACACTCATACACATAAAATAAAAATAAATAAAATATTTTTTAAAAGGAAAAGGTTTCTTTTTTTGTTTGCTTACTGTTTTGAGACAGAGTTTTACTCTGTAGTCTCAGGCTAGCCTGGAACTTACTATGTATATGTAGCTCAGGCTCCCCTCAAATTTGCAACAATCTGCTTGCCTCTACCTCCCAAGGGCTAGGATTACAGGCATGAGCTTGGTATTAAAAATTTTTTTTAAACCATTATAAAAGTATCCGGTGTGTGTCCTAAGGACAGGGAAGAGGGGCTCAGAGAAACTAGGACAGCCTGGCTGAAGATCTTAATTGTTTTAATGCCATGGCTATCTACGATTGAAGATGTTAACAAAAAACAAAACAGCAGAGATAAAAGGTACTTCATGGCAGCTGATCTGAAATCACTGAGTTCAATGTCTTCATAAGGGTGAGGAGATAAAGTCTGGATAGAAGAAATGTCAGGTAGAGGAACTAGAAGCTAAAGGAGAAGAAAGTACGACCCTGGAACAAACAACAGCCCCTTCTGAAGTTTATAGCCACTAGGCTCTTGGAAGAGGCTGTCGTAAGGGTGTTTGGTGAGCACCATACCTTAAACAGAGAGGAGAACACATGAAATGTGTACACAGCACAGGAGCCGTCTGAGTCACACATGAGCTGGTTAATGTGGCTGCGCCAGGCCTCCTCAGCATCATCACAGGCAGCAGGCTGAAAGGCAGCGAGGATGGCCGAGAAGAAGGGCGAGGGAGGGGGAGACACACCCCTGTCTCCTTCTCCAAAGCTGGAAGACATGGAAGCCATTACATCAAGAAGTGATGTCCTCTTGTACCCAGCTATACAAATTCTAACCTTGAGCATCAGCCTGACAAGGTGGCCCATTTGGTCCACCATTCCTTTAGGGACCCTCTGGGGACCTGGCTTTCATCAGAGGTTGCTCAGATGTTTTGGATTCTAGGAAACAGATTTTTCACCTCTGACATTTCTGTGATCCCTCTATTTCTAATTCTTTTACACAGCTTATACCTCTCCTGGCCTCCAGCAACCTTCACTCTCCCGGGAGCCAACCTCCAAGGGACCATCTGTTGCTAAGCTCCACAATTTCCACTCCTCCACAGATTTCATTCAGAAAAACTACAGCTAATTTTTTTATTCTTCTAACTTGTCCCTTATAGAGACAGACAGTAAATGCATGTGTACAAATGTTCATAATACAAAGTGGTTGTCAGTGTGTGTGGCGGGGTGGGTGGGGGCAGGAATGAACACAGAGAAGTGCAGAGTAAGGCAGATAGACAGGAAGGTAGGCAGGCAAGGGAATGGTTAAAAAGTGAAAAGTCATGTTCTACTCCAGGCATCACCTTAAACATTTGCTTTGATGGTCAGATACTGCTCACTGCAATAGAAGTCTGTTGTTTCACCACAGGCTTTTACTCAATTCTAATTTTCAACTTTCAGAAGAGTAATTTTGTATCTCGACTTTCTTATGAAGTAAATCTATATAACATAATTTGTAACTAATTGTACATGCTGAATTGTTTTCATCTATTCTTCCATCTTTCTGAATTTATATATCTCATTATTTTTAGAGGTATCAGCCACAAGATGGAAGGATACTCAAAGAGGAGTATTTAGCCTGTAAAACACTTGTTCATGTCTTTAAACTCAAAATGGAAAGAATTCATTGTTAAGCTTTGCCAAAATCTTACTTATCTTCAAAGTGCTAATTACCTGGTCCTGTTCTCAGGCTCTTCTTTTGCTTTTCACATTGTTCACAGGCTCTATAAATTCCTACATGGGCATCCGTTTTTGGTTTCATATAAAGCCCTACACTGTATACGAGTTAGGTTTTTGATTTTTTTTTTGCTTTCCAACTGGATACAAATTACCCTCAACTGAAGAAGTTTCCATATCAAATTGCCCTGGCATGTGTTAGGGTGTTTGGTGAGCACCATACCTTAAACAGGGAAGAGGGACCCTCAACTGAAGTTTCCATATCAAATTGCCCTGGCATGTGTTAGGGTGTTTGGTAAGCACCATACCTTAAACAGGGAAGAGGGACCCTCAACTGAAGAAGTTTCCATATCAAATTGCCCTGGCATGTCTGTGAGGCATTTTCTTAATTGCTAATTGGTATGGAAGGGCCCAGCCCACTGTGGACAATGCCATCCTGGGCAGATGGGTCTAGGCTATATAAAAAATGTAGCTGATATCCTAAGTGAAGTAATGCAGACTCAGAAAAACAGGTGACATATGTTCTCTCTCATTTGTGGTTCCTAGCTCTAAATCCTTAGATACAAGTGTATCTCTTGCCACTCATCAAAGAAGTTTCATTTTGTACAGTTGGATACTATTACAAAATTCTGCAACAGGTCAAACATACAAAGTGTCTGTGAGGGGCCCAACCCTAAGTGACACATCTACAATGCAACTTCTATACCTAAGGCTCAGGGAATGTTGTGGAACAGGGGTTAGAAAGAATATTAATGCAGCTCTCAACTCACCCATGAAGCTTCCTCATGCAACAAATGGTGATTAACCTAGAAAGCCACAACTGGCCAAAGTGCAGAGAACAAGAGACTACAGAGTGCTGATTCCTGAACAGGACATCGATATTAAACCTCTGCTACCCAAGGATAAGGGACCATTGCAGAAAAATTTTATAAGCTAGAGGTGGTGGATAACCACAAGGAAACAAGAGTTTGCCAGGCAGCTGGGAAGTTACTCATAAGAACTCACACTAATGGTAGCAACATGCATAAGACCCACACAAGCTCAAGCCAGACAAAATTCCAGCACAGAAGTGAGGAAGTGGGGTAAGAAGCCCCGACCTTAGCTTGGCAACCAATAACTGCTGGGAAAGGGAGAGTGAGTTTTCTTTAAGGGTGTGATGCTAGATAGGTTAACCAGGCTCCAGTGGATGGACCTATATCAAAAGACATTTGGGGACACAAATTTGACTAAATAGGCCTTAATATATATGACAGAGTACATGAAATCCAGTGGGGGATGCTATAAGGGGGGTTCAGATAGAGGAGTGGGTCTAAATATGATCAAAATACATTGTATGAAATTCACAAGAATTCATTTTTAAAAAAGTAGCTGAGCAAACCAGGAGGAGCAAGCCAGTAGGCAGCGTTCCTTGTGGGCTCCGTGTCAGGTTCCTGCTTTGAGCTCCTATGTAGGCTTCCCTTGTTTTGCAAGATGAAATGAGCCCTTCCCTCCCTAGGCTGGTTTTGGTCAGTGTTTTAACACAACAGAGAAACCAGACTAGAAAATACACGTTAGAAAATTGTAACTCAGTGAGTACCTGCCAAGTCACATGTTGCTGTGGACTCCTTCTTTAGGCAGCCTCAGCATTGAAAGTACGTATGGCCCTGTACACTAGAGAGCTAGCATGGATGCATTATTGCATTACAATGCACTACACGCACACACCACTCATCACCAAGGCTTGCCTTGCGAGAGTAAACTGGTCCAGGCCCTGATTGCCTTTTTCCTCTGCCTCAGTCATATCCAGGCTGAAGCTGTCACTGCATTCAAAAGCTGCTGGGAGTTCATTGATGGAACTTGAAAGATCATCTTCATGCACGGTGGTGTCCTCCTCTTCAGGTACAGCTTCAGCCTGAAGTGACAAAAATAAACCCAGTGTGTAAGACTACATACTAGGAAAACTGTTTCACTAATGCAGAAATACAATGCTGAGAGTAATAGAAATGCGGTATCTATTTCTAGCTACAATATAGTCATTCTTAGAAATGGATTTAGAAATTCCTGAAGTACTTTTTGGTTCATTATCTTCCTTTCAGTCTCTTCCACAATAGTTCCTAAAGACGTTCTCAATAGATTAGGATACTTGATCGATGCTTGTACGATATACATGCTAAACCTGGAAAAAGTCACAAAGACCTCCTCTTATACTTGTTCAACCTCCATGTTTACAGATGAGAAAATGCTGCTCCATGTAGAAAGTATTTGCTTAATGTCAGGTTGGTCATCAGGGTTAGAGCTGGAGTCAAGTTAAAGCCTTTGGATTCAGAACTCCTTCCATGGTAAAGCCCTAGCCTTAGAATTAGGCACATCTAGACCTAATTCTCCAATAAGAAAACCTTTTGCCAATACAAGCTAGGATGTAGAATCATTGGTTCCTGGCACAACAGATGCTCAAGAAATATCTTGTGCCTTGGGTGATTCAAAGTCCTTGAGTGAAGCTTCAGGTTGACAGGTTTTTCTGTACTGAAAGCACTCTACCATCCACTTGCATGTATGCTTTCCTCTTGAATATCCCTTGAGGAGAACAGGTACAAGTGTCTGTTCTCACCTTACTATAGCATGTGGACTAAACAGTAAGAAGAAACAGCTTTAGGGCAGGCAGAACCAGGGTCAGTGGGAGGCAGGAAGAGATACAGCAAGTGAAATGGAAAAAGAGGCTGGGCTTGAGCTTGGGCCAGGGGGAAGTCAGTTGTAGAACTGATTGTTCTGTGAGGAAGGAAGGCAATGAGCTATTCATCAGAAGAAGAGGAGAGGAAGAAAATACACGTACATGTTTCACTGAGTCTTCTAAAAAACAAAATCAAGGTGAAATAGAAATGTATTATGAATTAGCGCTTTATCGTGGGTTAACATCTGGCTATCCTGTTTAGTTTACTGTATTTTCAATTGACTAATGGGGAGAAATTAGCCAGAATATTAGAGATATATTAGGATGACATGTCATGGAGGAAATGGCTTGTAATAAAAACTTTCAGAAGTTTATCTGTCTGGCTTCTTTCTGGATTCTAAAATTACAGTAGTCCCATAAGGCTGGCCTCTGGGGACTGGTTCAGGACTTAGTGTTCATAAACTTCATCTATTCTGAAAGTGCTGAGTTCTTACAAATGTATCTTTATATTCTCTAACATCATAGATATATCAAATACCAGAGAAATACAGGTCATGAGAAAACAGACACAGCTCCTTAGAAATGAGATCTAATCTTTGCTTGATAGAATTAGATTATTTCTAATACTTTATAAGAGAAATATATATATGTATATAGATGCATTTAAAATAAAAGATGGAGAAAATGCACTCATGTTGAGAAATACCAAGTGGTTAGCACTTCATATATATTTTGTGATGCTTTGCATGAAATTTAATTAAAAAATTTTTAGCTTTGCGATTCTAATTTTCCTTTCCGGGGCTTTATTTTTTTGGCTAAATAAAGGACACTGCTAATTCCAAGAATCTTGAGAGTAGTCTCTTTGCAATGGAGTGACCTTAGCAATACTTCTATTTAAGCTTCAGTATTTTTAGGTAATTGCACCTTAGTGGTTGCTCTTGGTTTAAACCATGTCTAGTTTTCTTCATCACAGGTCTATTTTTAGTGTATTGTAATTTTTTACTGTACTTTTCCTTTTGGAGTATGACTTTTACAATTTTTTTTCTATTTTCTCTCTCAAACTTACAAAGCCATAGCCAAATGTAGGATAAGAAAAGACTAAGTCTATCCTAATAGTAACAGATTGTTCTGGTATTTCTAATATAAGGAAATTAAATTATATACTGATGTAGTTGCAGCATGCAAGTAGATGGTTTTATGGACAGGATATTTTCTGGATTTTTTGATAAAACAACCCTTAAATGAAATATTCACAGACCTTTTCTTTTTGTTTGTTTAACATCAATCTTTTAAAATAAGGAAATTCTATACATTAGTTAACTTTTCTCCTCAAAGAGTCTGGCTGGGAGAGTTTTGTGACAATCTGGCATAATGCCGTGATTGACATTACAAATTCCTATTATACACCAAAAGGCGAGCATGAGTCAATGTGCAAATTGTATAACTGGTTCCTACATAGGAAACAATTTCCCCCAATGCATGCATACACCCACACCTCACTTAGTATATTATCTCATGAAAGCTCCAACAAAGAATAGCAGTTTCTCAGTCACAGCAATCTCAGATATCTGCCACTCTGTTTTGCCATCAATGCCTCACAAAATATTTCACTTTACAAAGATACCGGGCCAAATCTGTTTCAACGAGGAGGTGTCTGCTCAAGTTTATGAGCATAAAACAACTTCAAAACACGGGCGCAGGTGCACAAGCTTCAATTACTTCACTAAAATCAGAAAAAGTCCTTTCACTTTTGACCTCCGTCCCCTAAGAATTCTTAAAAGGTTTTATTTCCCTAAAGGAAACTACAACCACAATTGCCCAAATCTCTTCACCTTTGACCCCTCAGAAATCTGCAGATTATTCATGTCAGGCAAAGAAGTGTCAAAGCTTGCCATTCTCGTATTAAAAGAATGAGGGTCTGTAGGGTTCGAGTCACAGGCAGTGGTGAGCAATTCCATGGGATTGGCCTCCTCAGAGGGGGAGAGGTTCATGATCTGTTTAGAAACCAAAGGAAAGAAAACACAACATGAAGTGCCTGTTCTTTAAAAGCTTTGACTACTTTTTACAAAAGAAACACAAACCATTGCTCTCCAGTTCTTGGCCGACAGGTAGTTTTCCAACTTCCCTGTGTCATTGTTACTAGACCCTTGACAGCGCAGCAGGCAACCAACCCAGTGTGAATCTGGCCTCATGGCAAAGGCCCTCAAAAATATTAACACCTGCAATGTCAGATAATTGCACCAGAATGCCTGCCTTGTTTACTAAAGCTCTGCATAGCCCAGGGGTTTCAGAAAAGATTTCAGCATCACAAAAGCTACTAGGGAAAAAAAAATCTAGGTCTTTCCAGATTAGATGATAGCAATTGCTATCATCTGCCACCTACAGAGAAGAGGGCACTTAGATAGACAGCACCTGACAGTTCAGATTTCAGTTCAGTGGCCAACCATGGAAAGTTTATTTAGCAGAAAATAAAACTCCTGAATTAATTAAAAAAGAGCCTCCCCATTTCTCCAGTGGGAAAAGTCACTACTTACGAGGTCTGAGTGCTCTAGGATCTGGCTGGCTGTGAGGTCCTCCTCCTCAGATGACTCATCCGAATCCTCATGGTTCATTTTATTTAGACTGGGAGTACTTCCTGAGAGTTGGTGCTCCTCCAGGATCTGCATGTCACACTTATCCAGGCTGTCCAGCGAACGCCTGCGTACACCCCAGTTGAAGTTGTCCATGCTCTCCCCCTGAAATCACACCATAGCCTACTTTGAGTGCCCCAGCCCTCCTGTATGTACACCTTCCATAGTAAGTCAGTTACAGGTTAGAAATGAACACTGTGGGTCAGCATCACCTCTCACACCCTTGTTTGCTTTGGTACCCATACTTTACCTGAGGTGAAAAGTCAAAAGAGCAGACTATTTAGCTGAGTGTATTATGTCACAGGTGGAAGTGATTACACCCTTCCCTTTGGTGTATTAGGTAATAATGTATTTTTCTAAAGCTGATATTTATAAACTCTAGAAAATTTATGTTTTCAAAAAAAACTGTCAAAAAGATAATACTAAAAAAAAGTCAAAATAAGTGTACTGTCCCTCCTCAGGAGGCTCCTGTTTAGTAGTGTTCAGAAGGAGAACTAAGTAGCAGCTACGCTTGAAGCACATTCCAGAACTCTTTGGCTATTAAGTAGAAGAGCATTAGGTAAACACTCCAGCCTGTTCTGCCACATCAGATTTCACAGACACAATGCAGTTAGAGGCTGTCAGAGCTGGATACAGTTTGTTGGGCCATGCACTATAAGGAACCCGCAGCAGCCATGGCTCATCTTGAAAGTGTCCCAAGCTGGGAAGTCATTAATATCTTGCTTTGGCATCAATGCTTCCTACTGACTTACCCATTCTGATTTACTGAGAATTGGCCTAGGTAGACACTTGAAGTGTTAAAGCTTTTAGTTTTATCAGACTACACGTTTTTTCTGTAGAAATGAAATGAATATGGGGATTTTTTCTGTCTCTTAAGACAGGAATAAAGGAAGAGAAATTTTTTTTTTTTTTTGAGATAGGGTCTCCCTGTAGCCCTAGCTGGCCTGGAACTCTCTATGCAGACCAGGCTGGCCTCAGACTCACAGAGATCCTCCTGCCTCTGCCTCCTGAGTGCTGGGATTAAAGGCATGTGCTACCATGCTTGGCCTAGTAAGCAAATTTTAATCTAAACAAATAGGTCACCTGAATAAAATATAGTACTGCATCTCATTTCTTGGTAACTTAAAACATGGCCTAATGGCTCATTGAAGTAAAACAACTTTTCTGACAAGAGCTCAGTGAACAGCATAATAATCTGAATTAGTGTAAATGTAGTGAACACTACACTTATTTTCCTCCTGTTCCAGACTCCAAATAAGGCCAGTTTGCCATTACCACAGAAGTCTTCTCTAACAAATGAGTACTTAGCCTATCCAAGGTCTGCTTTGGTTAGTCATGGTAGAAAGCAATAGTGAGATTTCTAAACACATCACTCTGGATATGACATAGAACTTGTTATCAATATTTAGCCCTTTTAAAAAAGATATATTTATTTTTATTTTATTTGTCTGCATGTATGTATGTGAACCATGTGCTTGTCTGGTGCCCTTGGAGGCCAGAAGAGTGTATCAGATCCCCTGGAACTGGAGTTATAGACAAGGTTGTGAGCCACCATGTGGGTGCTAGGAATCAAACCTGGGTCCCCTGGAAGAACAGGAAGTGCTCTCAACTGCTGCCCCATTCTCCCCATTATGGCATTTATGATTGTTGTTGGGGCTGCTTGATTATAAAGAGAAAGCAGACAAAATTCCAAACTTTTGAGCACCATTATGCCCTAAGTGGAAAATTCCATGTACTGGTCATAGTCAAAACCTAGGACCTCTAAAAATACTATATAAAATGACCTTCAGGCTAAATTTATAGGAAAGAAAAACAGGGCCAGATGTGGTGGTGCACACCTTTAATCCTGGCCAGCCTGGTCTACATAGTGAGTTCCAGGTCAGCTGGGGCTACAGGGAGACCCTGTCTCAAAAAGATCAAAAAAAAAAAAAAAAAACAACAACAAAAAAAAAAAAGGAAACAAAATGGATTTACTGTTTAGACTTTGTTCTCATTGTCAAAATACCTTATTACATTGTATGCAAATATTCCAGAGGGAAAAAACACTACCTAAATCTGAAATACTTCTAGTCCCAAGCATTTTGGATAAAGGGTGCTCAATTTGTACCTGGTCTCCTCTGATGGCCGTAATAAATTACCAATTGAAAAATTACCACTAAATATTTTTTTTCCTTCCTGGTGAGAAAAGTTAACTCCTTGGAAGAGATTTAAAAATAACTACTGCAGTGGAAATATGGAAAACAGCGTAAGAAGGAGAGATCTTGGAAGAAAAGGGAAATGCCACATGTAAAGAAAAGAACAAAGATAAAGAAAAACGAAGCCATGAGGAGAATGTTAAAAAACTGGGAGAAACACAAACTCACAACACTGATTTTCTTGTCCCAAATGACGGCATAGGTTGGATGAACTATCATAAGCAACAGTTCTGGAGGTCTCCCCTGTTGACCCTGAGCCTGCAGCACCACAGAGGGTCTAAGGTAAGAGACTGCTGCACTGGACACAGGTGGCGCTATTGTTGATGATGTGGCAACTGGTGACAACCTAAATCCATTGGGCATGAGAACTGGGAGGCAGGGAAAGCTGTTCTTGTACAAATAAGATATATCTCGCTAAATGCAACAGCTCCATTCAAGGTAAAGGTGCTGAAATGTTTCCCTGGTGGTGCTGAGAGGTTGAGATTGAGCAGGGTCATAGTGTTACCCCAGTTACAGTCCACATAGTAAGGCTGTGGGTGTACTTAAGAGGCAGAAAACGTGCTTAGCGTTGCTGAGTTCTTGGGTTTAATCTCTAGCACACACACAAAGTCCACAGTGCATAAAAGTTAGGCCAGCATTCCACATGGCACAAAATATACTCAGCAGAGCCATCCACCCCCTGCATGTCATATTTGCACTTTATGTCATTTGAAGAGTGAAAAGTCAAAACTATGTTTTTTTTTTGGTCTTTTTGAGACAAGGTCTCCCTGTAGCCGCAGCTGGCCTGGATTTGCTAATGGAGACTAAGCTGGCCTCGAACTCACAGAGATCTGCCTGCCTCTGCCTCCTAAGTGTGCCACCACGTCTGGATTTTGGTGGGTTTTTTTTGGAAACAGAATCTCATAAGGTAGGCCAGGCTGGCCTCAAACTCTCTGTGCAGGCCTCCCTCCCTAGTTCTAGGGTTACAGCATGTGCGACCACACCTAGATCCCATTCTCTTCTCTTTTTTAAATTAAGTTTATTTGCTGCACCTGCCTCTGCCTCCCAAGTGCTGGGATTAAAGGCATGGGCCACCACGCCCGGCAAAACTGTGTTTTTAAAAAAAATATTTTGTTTATTATTTTTATTTTATGTATATGCGTGTATTGCCTGCATGTAGATAAGTGCACCCATGTCGTGCAATGTGTATGGATCCCCTGGAACTGTAGTTATGGACAGTTGTTAGCTGACACGTGGGTGCTGGGATTCAAACCCGGGTCTTCTGCAAGAACAGTGTTCTTAACCACTGCACTATCTCTCCAGCCCCCAAAACTGTGTTTTATTCATGATGTCAGATTATGTGTGAGAAAATATAGAGGCTAGCTCACTGTTCCAGATGGATAACTTGTACAAATGGTCATTAAACTTAAACACACCACAAAGAATTTGCACTGAGATAGAAAAGTATTAACAGATATTCTAGAAATGTTAAAAATAGTATTTTTGAATTTTTTAAATATTGGAAGCCTGTCAAAATTATTATTATTAATAGAATGCTAGGGATTGAATGCAGGTCTTTGTACATGACAAGGATGCACTCTACTACTGAGATATACTCCTAGCTAAAATAGTAATTATTGCCATCAAATATATTTATCCAAATAAAGCTACTTAACGTAAGTTAAAAAAATGACAATAGTCATGGGGTGACCATGGGTCAATTTGCTTAAGATGATCTGATTTTAGCTAGCTGTCTGGACATAACTGTTACTGGCATTGTCTTTTACTTGCAAGAGACCTGGTTTGGATGAAAATTTATTTAGTCACCAGCCAAAGATAGTTTTTAATTCTTAGAAAACAAAAATATTTCATTGGAAGAGTGTATAGCATATTACAACAGACTATTGATTTTTGTGTTTTGTTTTCTTTTTGTTTTGAAGTGCTTGAGAGAGAACCCAGGACCCCATTCATGCTAAGCTGACAGTCTACCACTCAGGTGCATCCTCAGGGTGATCTCACTTTTCATGGAACAACACATTCATCCAGGTGTGTAACTGCCTAACAAGAAACTATAGGATTCCCATAGATGATATTTGAGAGATAGTCATGCAACTTTCAAACTAGAGATAACAAGCATTTTTGTAGTTTGGAAAATATTTCCATACTAGAGCAGCAAAAAAGGGAACAAAACAAAACAAAATTTCTTCTACCACACATGCCTAAACAGAAATATACACACAAATAAGCATACATGTGCTGGAGGGGAGGAAAAGAGCAACCATGTAGTTACATAAATCTGCAACAATACAGAACATCTACCAGCACCAGAATTAAAAACAGCATCATCTTACCTGAAGTTCCTGGGTAGCAGTTTGAATGGACAGAAAAACAAACAAAAGGTCTTATTTAAAATGATTGCATAAGATACTCAGGAGCACTTGTTTTAGTTTTAATACAATGGCAACTAAAATATGTTAGTATATGTTTAATAATATATACTTCAGTAGACACAACTTATTTAAAAAGGTGAATGAATATGCCCTAACTCCAGAGAGAAAATCAGTATTAAACGTCAAAATTCTGCGGTTCTTATTGGCGGAGGCTGCCGCCAGGGTAACATTGTGAGCACAATTTCAGAAACAGCTTTCTACTTCAGTGACAATTTCAGCACCTTTTTTTTTTTTTTTGAATGTCTAAATAACTGTTTGTGAAAAAAATTGTTAAAAGTCATGGGAAAGCGAAGAAGGGCCATCAGCTGAATGAAGAACAAGGTGACACCACCTGATCTCGCTCACCAAGCTAAGAGTGCTTGTGATTATGACGTGTTCACTGCAGATGTGAAATTAATAGCAAAGAGACACAGCACCTTTAAGATTCTGAAAACTTCAAGGGCAAAAACTCTCACACAGATCTTATTCAATGAGTTACTGAGGTTATTTAAGGAAAAGGAATAGACACAACAAAAACAACTTGATTTTTTTTTTTTTGATAACCATATTTTGATGAAGAAGCCAAAATATGCTTATGTTACTCTGATGAGGATGCCCTAGACTTATTCACCACCGGCAGGAATGGTGGGCTGGCACCGAGAATGCCAGCTGCCTCCCTACACTGCACTACACATTTTGCACGGATGATTGTACCCCACATGCCAAGTCCACAGGCAGGTTTTATGGCCTCCCTGGGACTAAGGAGCTGCATCCATGCTCATGGCTAGGTCACTGACAAAACTGAAATTAAAAATGATGCTCTCTGAAGTTCAAACACTTTCACACTAGTGCTTTGTAAGCATATCTGTATCTTATATTTTAATTATATATACATAATAAATATTTATTAAAAATAATACATATATTATAATTTAATTAAATTTTATTTATTATTTTTATTTTGTGCATATGAGTTTATTGCCTGCATGCATGTAAGTGCACCCATGTCATGCAATGCCCATAGAGGTCAGAAGAGAAGAGGGCATTGGATCCCCTGAAACTGGAGGTACAGCTGCCATGTGGGTTCTGGGACCCAAACCTGGGTCCTCTGCAAGAGCAGCTGGTGCTCTTAAACACCGAGCTGTCTCTCCAGCCCCTATTTATTTTTGAGACAGGGTTTCTCTGTGTTGGCCAGGCTGGCATTGAACTCCCTCCTGCCTTTCAAGTACCAGGGACTACAGATGCACGCCACATCATTCAGCTTTCAAATGACTCACTATTTCTTATTTCCTTGAGCTCCTTATAAAATCCTAATATTTTTAAAAGATTTATTGTGTGTATATGTATGTATGTACATATGTATGTATGTATTTGTGCCTGAGCATATGTCTACCACGTGAGTGTAGGTGCCTGTGGCGGCCAGAAGCAATTGGAGTTAGAGGTGTCTAGAGTTACTGGTGCTGTGAGCTATCCAATGTGGGTGTTGGGAACTGAACTCAGGTTCTCTGGAAGAGCAGCAAGCACTTTTAACCACTCAGCCATCTCTCTATTCCGTAAAATCTTAATCTTAAAAGATAAAATAATCTATGTGGTTTTCAGTTACGAGGGCTAGAATAATAGAGTCAACTAAAAGGAAAGTCTGATAGTCATTATTAATTGTCCTTAGAAAACATTAGATTTTTGGTTTTGTTTTTCTCAGTGCTGGGATAGAATTGAGGGCATCAAACATGCTAGACAAGTGTTCTGCCACTACACTAGCAGTTTGGAAATGACTGATTCCTCTGCTTCATACCACTCCTGCCGGGTCACTCTGTCTGTCATTGTTCTGGGACTAAACCAGGGAAGTGATATCTCTTGCTCTGCCAGTTTTTCTCTCTCTAGTTTAATTTCCAGAATGAAGAGGATGCTGAGCTTGAACCCTAGCCTAAGAGCAACTAGGTCAGGTGCCAGATCAAGGAACTAATCTCTTGACTGAGAACTCAGCTCGGGTTCACAAACATTTAGAAAGTATTCAAGACAGATGCATTTTGCTTTAAAATTTTAAAATAATTCTCACCACATTTAGTGAATTCTTTTTCCATCACTAATTATGGTTAGCAGAAACTGCTATAATCCTTTTAATTGGTTCTAGGACAGTTTAAGATGAAAATTAGGCTGACATTGATTTGACGCACGCTCTTGCAGCCAGCCTTCATTTGTTACCTTTTTGGCAGGGGGAAGGCAGAGATGAGGATGGAATCCAAGGCCTTGTGCACAGTAGGCAAGCATTCTACACTGACCAGAAATACCAGCTTCAGCCAGTGCTTTTATACTCTTAGGACTGGGTCTGCTAAGTGTGTTTTCTAGGGGAATATTCAATGAAGAAAACACCATTTATTTTATGTACCCACATCTCTCCTGCTGGGACAGATATCCAGGGCAGTCAAGCCATGGGACTTTGGCCCAAGTAGATGTAAATGGTTGCCCAGTAAGCAGATCCTTTTAGGAAAGCTGCTCAGACTCTCATTTTTCCCATAAGCTTATAGCTAAATTAGGAGGTGCCTACCTACTGTAGGAACAATAAACCTTGAATTTGGGCCTTAGTTTTAACTCTATACTACATTTCATATAAATATGGGCCAGGTGTGGTGGTACATACCTTTAGTCCCAGCACTTGGGAGGCAGAGGCAGGTGGATCTTTGTGAGTTCAGGGCCAGCCTGGTCTACATAGTGAGTTCAGGTCAGCTGGGACTACAGGGAGACCCTGTCTCAAAAAG